GCAGCACCGCGGATGACGCCGTCGCGAAGCGCACGCGCGAGATCCTCCCCGCTCGTCGTGATGCCGCGGCCAATGTTGATGTACACTGCACTCGGCTTCATCATGGCAAAGCGCTGCTTGTTGAAGAACAGCTTTGTCTCCTCCGTCCCTGGGAGGGTATTGACCAAGAAGTCGGACTCACGGATCACGCGGTCCCGCTCGGCGTCACCGTACACCATATGCACGCCGTGCTGGTCCTTCTTCTCGGAGGGTGCGGACCGCCTCACGCCCGTCACCTCCATCCCAAACGCGGTGGCAAGGCGGGCGGTGGCCTGCCCAATGTCGCCGTAGCCAATGATGCCCAGCTTCTTCCCGCGCAGCTCAACCATGTTGAAGGGATCCCACTTGCGCTCCGCGCGGCTCGCCAGGCTGCGCCACGTTTGCCGGTAAAAGTACAACATGGCGTAAATCACGTGCTCTGCCAAGATGGGAGAGTAACAGCCATGGGCGTTCGCAAAGGGAATGCCCTTTAGCTCCGTTACGAGTTCACGCGGCCTGTACACATCCACACCATCAGTAACTGAGTAGATCCATACAACCCTTCTCTGCTCCTTCGGCAGTTGATGGTCGTCGCACAAATACCTGATCGCATCGTTCCCCACGGGGCCCTCAACAAACAGGATGATGCGGTCCTTCGACTCCTTGGCCTCCTTAAAATCGCTCCCCTTCGAGCCAAGGGTGATGCTCTTGAAGAAGCTGCTGAGATGCTTATTAAACATTTCCATGTAGTACTCGCCATTGGCTGTCGCCGTAGACACGCAGAGCCTGAGGGACATTTTTGTTGCAATGGAGTGTGTATTGATTAATAACCGTTCGCTTTTCTAGTGTTGCTGATGGCGTACGTGGTGAGAAGAGCACGGGGAACAAACGAATTCCTTTTTTTCTTTTCTTTTCTGAGTGCATGTGTGAGGCTAAAATCAAAAATTTCCAGAGGCAGTAAAACGACTTCCGTTGTTTTTTTTTTCTTTTTTTTTTTACATCTTCTTCCAATGCTTCCAAAACACAAGATATGCGCTGAATGGAGGAACAGTCCATCTTCATTACTGCCTCTTCTTCGTGTACCCTTTCACTCTCTTTCGTTGCCATTTTCTTCCTTCCGCGCCCTCATCTTTGCGGTGACAGACCACATGGAATGATTTGCACAGACGCAAAAAATAAAAATAAAATAAAAAAATGCCTGTCATGGGCACTCGTACTCCTCACGAAGCTTTGTTCGCTGCATTGGGTCGTCCTTGTACGCCATAAATTGTCCCCAGCACTCGCTACTTGTTGCGGGGTATTCATCAATATTCTCCTTGAGGTATTCCCCTGTTGCATCCAAAGTCACATTTTTGGTGGTCAGAAGCCGCTCCTTCTCCCGAACACGCCCAATAGGCGGGAGTTTTGGTGGTCGATATCGTCCACCACGCGTTGTTTGCACATATTCCCTGTCTTTTTTTGCAGCACACTCTGTGCTGTAGGCCAACGGTGCCGCCACCGTATTTCTTCCGAGACACGGCAGAGGTCCAGCGGTAGCCGCACGCCCGCTGAATCCCATGGCACGACGCAGCGCCTCCGTCCTGTCCCGCCGCCGAGATATGCCTTCTTCATCAAGGATCGCTTTAAGTGAGTTCGCTGTGGCGCCCATTGTCGGATGGGTGTAACTGAGCTCGTGTACGGTGAGTTGATTTTGCGGCGGCGCAGCAATGTCGCCGTGGTAAAAGAGAAGCTGCACTGGTGCCTCAGCGCAAAAACAGCCAGGGGGCTTCGCAGCGAAGAGTTCCTCCTCGTCCTTGCTGCCCTTGTACGACGCCAAATACGTCGTCTGGGTTTCCAGCGGCCCCTTTGCAGGATCCTTCAGCCCAAATGTCATTCGTTCCTCCTGCCAGTTCCCAAGCAGCGTGGCACAGTGGTAGTCCGACTTGTGCCCACTAGGGCCAATGAGACGAATGCGCATACGAGGGTTCAGTGGCATCTTGGCTTCACATGTGTGTGTCTCTGTGCGTGTGTATGCGTGTGTGTGTGTGTGCAACTGCGCACAGCAGACAAAACACTCCTCCTTCTCCCCCCTATGGAAACCTGATGCGTCATTGAGTAAGAAACGCAAGAGTAAAGATCACACAGCAAAGATGGTCACATGAAACCCAAAGACCAGAACACCAAAGGAAGCAGCAACAATCCAAATGAAGCAAAACCCCTCAATAACGTTTGAGCCAATTAAAAAAAGGTTAAATGCACCAATGGCCGGCTTTCTCTCACCACCCCTCCTTCCCAATCGGTTGAGCACAGGAATCATAGAAAAGGAGAGAGATAGACACTGTCCTCACACAATCACCTCTCCCAGGAAAACAACGGTCAACCTTAAGTGAGAGAAAAAAATTTAAAAAATTCCTCGTCTATATCTTAGTTCGTTTTTCATCGGACGTAACAATTACATGTAAAAAAAAACAAGGAAAACGGAAAAAACAAAACAAAAAAAGAAATTCGGAAACAAAAAAAACGTTTTACGCCCA